AGGCAGGAATTGCAGGCCCAAACAGAGGTCTCTGCCAAACTGGATAAGGTGATGGGCTTCCTAGAAATTTTGAGTGAGGCCTGGCTAGAAGAGCATCAGGCCTGCAAGCGATGCGATCCGTGACCCATACAGCGGGAAGAAGGAGGAGAGTTTCGATAACTGGGAGGCCAGCATAAACACCTATGTCTTTTTACAACATATCGCCCCCGAGGAGCAAGTCCTCGTCGCCTTCCATGCGTTGAAAGACGAAGCAGCCAGCTTCGCCAGGTCTCTCGCACGTGCCGCAGATTGCGAGCACAACATGATCGCATACTCTAGACTTACCCCCCTCACTACTTTCCTCAAACTCCTGCGCGAGAGGTTTGCTGACGTCACTAGAGGCGTCAGGGCCTCTGATAAGCTCCAAACCATCCATTCGTGGCAGTGGAGGAGTGCGAGAGCACTCAAAGCTGTCATGGACCACTTGGTAGCCGTCCCGGACCACGGGGTCACTGAGACCCAGTTGATTCAGCTGTTTTATCAAGCCATGCCAGAGCCCTTACGAGGGCACTTTTTTGACAAGACCCAACAGCCCAACATTACGTACGATACGTTGAGTAGGGAGGTGGTCTTGTTTGAGGCCAAGTCCATGCCAATTTCCACTTTCTGGCATAAGGACTTAGACAAGGGAAAGAAGTGGAAAGGGCGTACCATCTCAGGTCAGGTTAGGGCTAAGGATCACATGATCCTTACATTGGAAGAATGTGGTACTGACGAGGTCCCCTATAGTCAGATTGAGTGGGGCCTCGAGAAGGAGGACAGTAGCATAGGTCAAGGGAGGTCCTATGCTGCTGTCGCGGCTGGAGGGAGGCCGCAAGGTAGGGGAGGAGGCCAGGGCCAAAGGGGCCAGGCCATGGGAGGCCGAGGATCGAGCGCTCAGGGGGTTGGCGGTCAAGGGAACCGCCAAGCAGGAGGTAGGGGTCAAGGTCCCCTGCCGAATCGTCAAGGTCCCTGTCGGTCCCCACAGCGATGAGGTGGCAGATCACCTCAAAGGTCAGGAGGTTGGCACCCAGGCTGGCCACAAGGCCAGCCCTGGGAAGATTTGGGCCTAGATCAGAAAGTGTGGCAGCAACCGATGGAGCAAGGGCAGTGCATTTATTGTGGTGACCCTGCCCATATCATAAAATATTGTCCTAAGTATAGACAGGCCCGTTGGGCTGCCCAGGAGTCAAAAGGCAGCCGCCGGTAGGGGTCGCAACTGCCCCTACTTTTAGGCCATGTGGAGAAGTGAGCGCAAGCGTAGAGGAAACTCCCACACCACCTGCGCCTTCGGCAGAGGTTGCAGGCCCGTGCCTAGTTAGTTGTCCAGAGACCGCTTGTGTCAGCGTCTCTCTAGGCACGTCCCTCACAGGCGTGGCAGAGGAGTTGAAGGAGAGGATGCATGCCTGGGCCAAGATGAAGAAAGACAGTAAAGGGCAGCTAGTAGAGGTGTTTAGAAGTAGAGTAGGGGCCCTTATAGATTCAGGGGCCACCCGCAGTTACATTAGCCGCAAAGTGCTGAAAAAGTTGAGGCTAGGATTGAAAGTCCAAAAGTTAGCAAACCCCATAGACAACCGCACGATGCGAGTTGAGAACTACGTAGAGGGAGTCCAAGCGTATTTTCACCTAGAGAAAGATGGGAAGGTGGAGAAAGTTCTCCATTCCCTGACTCTCCTCATACAGGATGACCTTCCATTTGACATAGTCCTAGGCATGGACTGGGCAGAGGCACCAGGGGCCACACTCCCCTGAGAGAGCATGAGTGTAGGCTCCCTAGTCCGTCAGGCGAGGTTAAGACGGCCCGTCTGTTTCATGTGTCAGGAGTAGATAACTCACTGGCACATTGCTGTCTCAGTGCTCCCGCGTTCGCACGACTAGTGAGAAAGGAGCAATTGGAAGATCAGGTCTTTGTAGCATATGTTAAACCTGTCACATAGACGAATCAAGAGGACAGTTCCACGGATCCAGCTATTGCCAAGCTGCTGGAAGAGTTTAAAGACCTCTCAGAGTCGCCGACACGAGTAGTGTCGCGGCCAACCCAGCACAGGATAGAGATAGAGCCTGGCAGTAGAACTCCTAAGGGTGCAGTCTACAGGATGTCCCCTAGAGAATTAGAGGAGCTGCGCAAGCAATTAGACGAGCTCCTGGAGAAAGGTTGGATTAGACCCAGTTCGTCTCCCTTTGGAGCACCAGTGTTATTTGTCCCCAAGAAGGAAGGAGAGTTGCGCATGTGTATAGACTATAGGGGTCTGAATGCTATTACAGTCAAGAATGTTGAACCATTGCCCAGGATAGACGATCTCTTAGATCGGGTGCAGGGGTGCAAGTATTTCTCAAAGATAGATTTGAAGTCCGGCTATCATCAGATAGAAGTCCATCCTGATGACCAGTAAAAGACTGCGTTCCGGACGAGATATGGGCATTATGAGTTCATAGTAATGCCCTTTGGACTGACTAACGCGCCAGCGACATTTCAGCGATGTATGAATGATTTGTTTAGGCCTTGGTTAGATAGATTTGTCGTAGTGTATCTAGACGACATTTTAGTTTTCAGTAGGACCCTCCAAGAACACCAGGGTCATTTGAGGCAAGTCTTGGAGAAGCTGAGAGAAGCTAACTTCAAGATCAATGCGAAGAAGTGCGAGTGGGCCAAGACACAAGCCCTGTACTTGGTCCACGTGTTAGACGGAGATGGGATTAAGCCAGAGGACAGCAAGATAGCGGCAATTAGAGACTGGCCGACACCCTGCACATTGATAGAGTTGCGGTTGTTTCTGGGCCTAGCTAATTACTACAGGAAGTTCGTGAGGAACTTCTCTACCATCGTCGCTCCCTTGCGCAGGTTGCTCAAGAAAGAGGCAATTTGGCAGTGGGATAAAGACTGTACGTCTGCGCTAAAGAAGTTAAAGCGCGCCTTGATAGAGTACCCTGTCCTCAAGGTAGCAGATCCGTCCTTGCCATTTGTCGTCACCACAGACGTGAGTCAGTATGGCATAGGCGCCGTGTTACAGCAAGACGACGGCAATGGTTATAAACCAGTAGAGTTCATGTCAGCGAGGATGCCCTCAGAGAAGGTTGCTACCTCGACGTACGAGAGAGAACTCTACGCTCTCAGGCAGGCTTTAGAGCGCTGGAATCATTATCTGCTTGGGAGGCACTTCAAGGTGTATTCAGACCATGAGACGCTTAGATGGTTGAAGACACAGGCCAAGATGACACCTAAGTTGACTAGGTGGACCACTGAAATAGACCAATATGACTTTGAGCTCAAGCTAGTGAAGGGCAAGTACAATGTAGTTGCGGATGCTCAAAGTAGGAGATCAGACTACTTTGGAGCCATAGTTCACTATTTGGATATAGGGAGTGACCTGCAAGAGAAAGTTAGACAAGCATATGCGCAGGACCCTATCTATAGTGACGTCCTCAAGAGAGTCAAGGAGGCCCCAGAGAGTGAACCAGATTACCGCACTACAGAGGGTTACTATTTAAGAAGACTAACGTAGTAGACCGTCTACGTGTCCCCAACAGTGAGGAGATCAGCAGTCTGATCCTAGGGGAATGCCATGATACAGAGGGACACTTCGGTTGGCAAAAGACGTTAGCCAATCTGATGCACGAGTACACATGGTCAGGAATATACTTATTATCATTGTTGACTTGAAGAGGGAAGAAGCCCGGAGAAGGAGAGGGATCTGAAAGGATTATTTGTGTGATCTTTCATCTTCTCCTTTGTCTACTCCCCCTCCACTCTCTTCTTTTGATGATAATGAGACACTGTTTGAAGATATCACTTCACGATTTGGAGACTTTGATGCAATTAATGAGATTACTGATGTTCGACGACTTCTGAGTATCTGCCAGACTGGGTTCATTACAAAGAAGAGAATTGAGACTCAGGAGACAAGGTAGAATAGAGAGAGGATGGAGACAGGCATGTATTCACCGAGCAACTCTTCATCACAGTTACAACATCAGCTGTTGTATTGAAGACTAGTACCGCCATCAAGTTCATAATGTTTGTGCACCTCTCTCTCTCTCTCACACACCACACACACACACACACACACACACACACACACACACAAACAATGCACACACAAACAAGATCATACAAACACACACACACAAGATCATACAAACACACACACACACTATCAGACACTATCATACTTAACAACAAGAACGAAATAAATGAAAACAATAATAAAAAATAACAAAAATAAAGCCCTACCTGACGCCCAGGTTCTACTCACCTCCTACCTGAGATGCTTTCCTATGCCTCTCAGGAATCAGTTGGCAGGTGAGGCCAACATCAACATGCACAACTTTCCCTCGTTTAGCAAGAAGGCCCTAGACATGGAAGCAAAGATAGGGCATGGACAGACACCCACGACGGATGGTGGTTTTGGATATCAGCATATTGCCGAGTGTGATCGGCAGTAAAAGAGGCTCTGGAGGAAATGTGGAACTCTTACACACGGTGGAGGGTTGAATTGGATCAATGAATGGTTAGTGATAATCTTGTGTCTCTGAGTGCCACGCTCAAAGTCTCCACTTATATACTTCTAGATGAGATGTGGGATTACGATGTGTGTTACCTTCTCCCGTTTGTTATCGAGTTACTGAGGAATGGGGTTGCCATGATGAAATGGTAGTTATGCGAATGTTTCCTACTTATGGGGGGTGTAATCTTGATGGCTACCTTCAACATTGTACTTGAGTCAAGTATGTCTGGAAATATGCTTCTACTTATATTCCTTCCCATTTTTCCTCTTTAATTCACTATCTCCCACCTCTCTCTCTCTCTCTCTCTCTCTCTCTCTCTCTCTCTCTCTCTCTCTCTCTCTCCCACAACCGTGACCATAATGATCATGTTGCTGGTCTTCTTTTAAACACCTGCAGAGCAAACTCAGCTCGCCGTTGTCGAGCGCATCGGCTCCCGCCTTTTTCACAAGGCGAGAGCCCTCCCGCCCATGTCACGCAGGAGTAAAACACTCGAAAAAAACAGAGACAACTTAGGGACGACATATAGCATTCCGTGAGCGGCCGAAACGGACGCAGTTGCATCGTTCCTTCGCCGCTCTAGCCGGGTGTGCCAGCTATACATCCCGCGGTCCCCAAGGAAAGCTTAGGCCCCGCGGGAACCTATCCTGTCGTAGGGGACTGCGGGATGTACAGCTGGCGCACCCGGCTAGAGCGGCGAAGGGACGTTGCGACTGCGACCGTCTCGGCAGTTCGCGTGGTTATTATGCGTCGTTCCTAAGTTGTCTCTGATTTTGTTTTGTTTTACTCCTGCGTGACATGGCCGGGAGGGCTCTCGCCTTTGCGGAAAAAGGCGGGAGCCGATGCGCTCGACACCGCGACTTGCATCGCGGTGGTCTTATGTCTCAATAAACACACGCGCACACACACACACACACACACACACACACACACACACACACACACACAATCAGTTTTATGTTTGTCAGTCTTCCGTCTGTTGTATGTCCTCCCTTGATTTTTTCCATGTATTTCTATATGCTCAACTGAACACCCTTAAGTAGTGCCAAACAGTCGGTGGTTCCTCGTTTGGAGTGCCTACTGCACTCTTATGGGGGCCGCTCGGTTCGGGTTGTTTGTATTGGCTGTCGTGATGGAGGATGTTCGTCGGAGTGACTCCCTGGCTCAGTGGGTGGTGGGAATCGACAGTCTGCGGGGTTCAACCGTGATGTGAGTAGCTCATGTGCTGCTTTGCTTCGTGTTGGATGTGTGGACGTCCTCGTCTGCGCTCCGCCGCTGCCCTGCTGCCTGTCCCGCTTGCTTCGCGTGTGGCTCTTTGCGAATTGCTGTGTTCGCTGCATGGTATGGCCATGTTGTTGGTGTTGCCTTGCGCTTCGCTGCTTCGCTGCTGTGCTGCTCATCCACTGGTCGTGCCTTCTGTGTTTGCTGCTTTTGTGCCCTGTAGGTTGGTTGCCTTGGTGCTGGTGCCTTGTGCTCTGCTCCACGGTTGTCGAGCTGCTGGTCCACTTGCCCTGCCGTCCCTTGCAGTGTGGCTGCCCTGCTTGTGTTGCCTTGTGCTTCACTACATGGTTGCCGCGCTGCATGTCGTGCGTGCCATGCCGTTCCTTGCAGTCGTTTTTGGCGTTGTGCAGCCATGTTGCCTCTACTGTGTTGCCTGGTGCTCCACAGGGTTGCTGCCCGCAGCTATGTTCCACTTGGGACAGTCTGCCTTCAACAAGGGTCAAAGGGATCATGACCCAAACCATCAAATACCGAGATTCGGCAGATTGTTGAAGGTTCAGCCTCCTGATGAGTCGGTGCAACTCCGACGAAACAATCTATCATCATCAATTTTTATTTTATTTTTTTCGGTCTTTGTTTCCTGCCTTGTGTTGTTTGTCTGCCCACCCTCCTTCCCTCTACCCTCCAGCCTGTCCTTTGCTGTTTTCTATTCTTCTGGCCGCTTTGCTGTTTTTTTATACTTGTACTTATGCCCTCCTGCCTCCCCCATGTGTTTCAGCTTATGTGCTGCTTCACTGCTTGTTCCTCTTTTCATGCCTCTTAAGTTCATGTGCCTCCCCGATGCTTTTCAACCTAGGTGCTGCCTCGCTGTTTGTTCCTCCTCTCGTGCCTCTTAAGTTCACGTGTCGTGTTGTGGTTTGTCATCCTACGGTGTTAGTTCCCTGCCCTTTGCGTCACTGTCCTTTGCCTTCCCCTCTTCCCTCCGTTTTGTTTGTGGGGTGTTATTGCGTGTGTTCTGGTCTGTCTGAAAAGGAGGAGGTGCCACCCACCCCCCTCACTTTGTCTTACTGCTTTCGCATATTTGGCTGCTTTCGACTTTACGGCCCTTTAAACAAGTACCCGCACCACAAATGGACACAATATGGTTTTACCCTGCCTCGTTGAGAATCACCTCCGCAACTTGCACCTTGCTCACAGTGTGCCGACGTTGCTGGTCGGAGCAGCGCGAGTATGACGTGTCGTACTCACGCGACTCATGTGACACACACATGCTGCTCACAGTGTGCTGACGTTGCTGGTCGGAGCAGCGCGAGTCTGACGTGTCGTACTCACGCGTCTCATGTGACACACACACACACACACACACACACACACACACACACACACACACACACGAGACAGGTATCAAGACAAACAAAGGACAGCAGAGTATCCGAGTACCCAAAGGGGCCTCAAGATCCTGTACAAAAAAGTGCAAACCATTAAGAAAACAACTTGAGGCTCTGCATATGCAAAATTATGTTCGTTCGGGAACTGGTAAGGACGAGCAAGCATGTTCATTGCTCAGCAAAGGTTATTTACAAAAACATTTAGGGTGCCAACTGTAGCGGCAAAACTGCAAAGAGAAAGGACACAAGCACACTTGGCCGACAAAGATGTAGTTGAGAGCATCACGAGCCAGGCAGGCACTGGGTAATAAACCCCAGTCTGCAGCCCACAGACTAGACAGCCGGGACAGGCTAGGGGAGAGAACAGGAGGAAAACATTGGGCATGAAGGGGGATACTGCACATATAGAACCCAACACACCTCAAAGAAAATCCCTCCTAAACAGCACACTAAAATTGGATGATTAGTCTACATGGTTAGGGTAGAGATGGCTTCGATAGGTGATAAAGCTAGATGGAAACTATCGACGGGCCCGAGAAATATTTTGTTTGAGATTCAGGAATGTGGTTGTGCCAGATGGTTAAAGGTAGATGGTTAGTGTTGCAAAGAAGGCAAAGGTACACTTCATTTCGCCCGAAAACAACTCTATAAGGTCAACTATTCTTCCAACTGCACAGATCAAGCCAACCTCACAATCACCACAAAACCAGTTGAATCAGATAATCTGGCCAGGCAGATCATCAGCGCGCCCTTAGCTCACAGCCATCCTAAGCACCAGCTGAATCGGATAATCTGGACAGGCGTGAGATAGAAAACACAGGTGGTTCTTTGCCATTACTAGATTCACTACCCGCCAATGACATACGTGTGCGCAACCAGTACGTCAGAGTTTACTTGTGTTAGAGTCCAAAAAGATGGGGGGGGGGGGGGGAGAATCTTCCAACCCTTCACACTGCGGAGCCGGAATGACTGAAATGATGTTTCATCATACCCTAACAACGATTGATAGATGTTCTTCGAGACATCCGTTAAAATTGGAATGATACAAAGAAAGAATATTAGCATGGCCCCCGCGCAAGGATGACACATAAATCGAGAAAGGGTCCCAAAAAAAAAACAAACGATTAATAGGACGGGGGCTATAATAAATCAAGACAAGACAAGACAAGACAAGACAAGACAAGACAAGACAAGACAAGACAAGACAAGAGAATATCACAGCAAACGTGTTGGGGCCCTTGGGAGGAAGGCAATAAGAACCACAGGGCCAGCAATAATGTGCACAAGGACCATCCGGACAAGTGTCGAACGACGTCTGCCGAAGTAGCTTGAGATCACAAAATCATGAACTGATGTCGTTAGATCAGTGCATAAATTGTCCTCCAACTCACTGATGAATAATGCCTGCTCGCTCCAATGAACAGAGACTTGCACAATGCCGAGCAACACACGGACACATACTGAAACTAAATATCAAGGAAAAACTGATAGATTACGGATAGTCAGAGCATCACACTAATCAGAGACAACAAGACTCCCTCTCTCTCTCAACGAATCCAGATCAAGGGGCCCACAAATTGACACTCGCACTGGCAGCACCAGCACCAGCAGCAATGTCAGTGCGATGACCAGTGGTTGCAAGCAGCAGCAGCAGCAGCAGAGTTACACTCACCTTGTAGCAATCACCTGTTTTTGCCCATCCCAATGCACAGGCCTCCCAATTTGAGCACCCACAAGGACTAGCAAACATCCGCAGCAGCATCATTTCGTTTTCTGTCATCTCATTCCCCCTACTGATTGAGAACCTCCGACCCACCGACTTGCAAAAACGGTGTGGTGTGACGAGCAGGGTCATCAGCGCGTGCCTAGCTCACGGCCATCCTCTCATCCACAGTCCAATAAATCGGTTTGACAGTTCCTTAGCACCAACAGACATATGTGTAAGCATCACCTCAGTGAGTGGAGCCTCTTCTCCCTCATCCTCAGTGTCTTCCCTGATCCCTCTGCCGTTCAGAATATAATGACATCAAGCAGCCACATCAGCAGCATCTCTTGCCTCGTTCATCTCGGTAGTTAGTGGCTGAGGAATGGCGCAAAAGTGTCAATGGTTCTGAAACAGTAATGACTAAGTTATTAACGCACACCAGGAGATCTCCTGAAGCGTGCCAATTACGTAAACCAGTTGTCGTGAATACTCTACCTACAAGCTACTGCTATCTTCTTGTGCAAGGAGAAAATTATTCACAAACTGATTATGTTCCTTAGGGTGTTATGGTACTGAAACAATAATGATTTACTAACACACACCGGGAGATCTCTTGAAGCGTGCCAATTACGTAAACCAGTTGTCGTGAACACTCTACCTATTGCTATTCTTGTGCAAGGAGAAAATTCTTCAGAAGCTGATTATATTCCTTAGGGTGTTCTAGCTGGGGAACATGCCCGCTGTCCTCCAGAATTGCTATCCTTGCCCTTGTCGACCCCAAAGACTGGGCTAGTCTCGTGGCCAATTCCACTGGAAACACCACATCCCTCTCACCCCAAACTATCAAGAACTGCTGCGACAGACCTTCCAAATCTTTTACAGGTGGGTCATCTAGATAGGTCATGACAGCTTGCAAGAGCTCCCTTTTCTCGTCCACCATGTCGGTGAATAGCGCATGATAAGCGTCCATCAGCACGCAGACGGGCAACCACCTTGGACGGTGATAGGCGAGCTCTAAGAGGCGTCTCAGATCCTTCGGCCTCTTAGGAAGTAAGAGATCTGTGATGTTTTTGACGCCGCATCTTTTCAACAACTCTTGGTAATCGTCCTTTGTCATCACCGCCCCAGGGCAGTCTGTCACCACCACCTTCTTCACACGATCAGGCTCGAGTGCTGCCATACGGAAAGCAACAAAACCGCCATAACTAAGACCTACAATGTTGAACTGACCAACAGAGAGTTTTGTGAGAAGTTTCAGGAGACACTCTGCCTGAAACGTCTCTGAACGCTCGGGTCTCCTCGTTGTCGATTTCCCAAAGAAAAGGAGGTCTGGCACATATAGATCAAAGACGGAAGAGAGCTCTTTCACCTGCTCGGGCCACTGGAAAAGAGCAGTTGCTCCAAAACCGTGGATGAGAACAAGAGGGAACCCACCTCCCTTACTCTTCTTCTTATATGTTGCCACTGTCTTCAACGTTTGTGAGTGCACCCTCAGACGTTCCCCACCTTCCCCCAGCAGTCCTCCTGCTCCTCCCTCCGCTGCTACTGGAGCATCCCCCGCCTGCAGTGCTGGTCTTGGGTCATCTGCAAACCGTTCCCTGGGTGCCCAGCAATGCATGGTAGTATCGTCATCAAGTGCTACCAGGTGGGACTCTAGTCCACATGACCGGCACAGGTTCGCATAACGGGTCTCGATGAGGCCCGTCAGACTGAAGACCGTTCCCAAGCAAGCCATCACCCTATCAAATGTGTTGAGTTATAAGAGGACACACAGAAAGCTTGGCAAAAATGTCCACACGCCTGAAAGGAAAAACAGGACTCGACATGCGATGCTCGGCAGACGGAGGCGGGAGGTGAAGGTGAAGAACTCGCCACGCTCAGACACCTGAAGCTGTTAGTTATAGCATTGTGGGCAGAGAAGAAAGGGCGGCCTCCTGGACAGCACTCATCCGCAAATTGTGATATAGCACTTTTACTCAGTGCAGAAGGAGATCAAAGAGAAGGGAGAGAGTGAATCAAGGGCACTAAGGATTTTCTATCTGCTCCTTTAGGCATGCACCAGAAGCGGAAAAGGCCAAAGACTGAAAGAGAGGTGGCGTTGAGAGAGGTGGTGACACGACAGGATGTCGCCTGATGGCACACGACAAGGGCAGACCAGCAGCGGATACATGAAACATGCCCAATGTGCACTAATCAATCAATTGATGACACACAGGTGGGAAGCAGTGGAAAGGGTATCCCTTCACTCCACCATTCGCTGCTACTACTGATCAATGGGAGCCCTTAAATTGCCATCACCTGAGGAGACCGGCACCACATAGGCGGGTGAAACGGCAGGTCAACATTGTCAGCAAAAGGACTGGAACGAGCATGGCCAAGAAGGCCGAGGACCAAATGCATGGGGAAAGGGGCCGCTCTCAAATGATTCTGGTGATGCTCCAACTGTTACCACTCATGTCACCAACTGGTTGATGCTGCTGGCTGTTCCACCCATGGCAAGGCCAACATCATACACGCAATCAGTGGGTTTACCTCCACACACTCTTCCCATTCATGGCTGTTGATTTCTTGCTTGCTCTCCCGTACCATTATGCAAAGGCATCAGCATGCAATCTCAACCTAGTGGGTGCAACAAGAACGAAGAGGAGCTGCCCACTACACACAGATGCTCCTGACTGTTCCACCAATAATAAGGCCAACATCATATACACAATCAGTGGGTTTCCCTCCACACGCTCTTCCCATTCATGGTTGTTACCTTCCTGCTTGCTCTCCCGTACCATTACGCAAAGGCATCGGTATGCAATCTCAACCTTGCGGGTACAACAAGAACGAACAGGAGCTGCCCACTACAGACAGATGCTTTTGCGCTGCTCAAGCTGAGAAACTCTGTCGGGTTCTCTTCGAGGCTTCCCTTGGCATGATCAGCGACAACCCTCTCCCTCCCTGACGGTTCCATCCCTTTGTGCCAAACGTTCGCGCCCCCCTCTGACCTCCATCACCTCACCCCCCTCTCCACCACCCTATCACCATCCGGCTCCTCTTTGGGATATTGCCACCTCCAAGGCCCCCTGCACCTGCATGGAGGAGGAAAAAAAGAGAATCAATAAATAAATCCCATCCCATCACATCACATCACATCACATCACATCCTTCAATCAGCCAATCAAGCAATCAAGCAATCAATCGCAGCAATTGGATCCCTAGAGTTCGCTCGCAGGTGCACTCAACTGTCTGCCCAGCCCATCCACTCACTGGTGCATCTGCTGGTCCCCCTGCCAAGGCACCACCCATCTGTCGGCCGATCCACCCACTAACACGCAGACCCATCTGTCTGGCCATCCACGTATGCTCACCCACACCGTGAAGCCACACCCACATGCCCTCCCATACATTACACGGTGGTCCACCAGTGCACCTGCCTATCCATATACCAGCCTACCTGCCGAGAAGCACACCTGAGTGCCGCTGTGCCATGCCTCTGGCCGCTGGTGTGCCTCCCCGTCTGCCTGCTGACGCGCCCACCAAGGTGCACCTGGAACATTCAATCCCCCACCGGCCCACCTGCATGGCTTTCTGTCCACCATCCGGCCCATCAACCATGGCGAACAACCACACGTTTGCAACACCATCTGAAAGCCCTAGAAATCACCCCACTAATCAACAACTACCTCACTCACACACTGTCCAATCAAGCAGACGACAATTTCAGCATTAACAAAACGCGACCAGCCCTGCACGGCCTCAAAGGTCAGGCCTATCGAGTCGACATTTGGTTTACACCTAATTCTTTTTCGGTGCCAAAACTGTGTTACCTGAGTTTTCTAATATACCTCACTGATACAGCAGAACCTGCCCTACCTCCCCGACTTTTCGGATTCTTTTATAAACAGCGATAGATTTTATGCACCCCTGGGTACGCCCCTCGGGGCACTCAAAACATTGTGCACCCCTGGGTATCCCCCTCGATTCTAGTAGGCCCATGCGACCTTCCGCGGCCTGCTCGTGTACGGCCACAAATGTAAGGCTGGTTGGCACCTGAATTGGTTGTTAGGCAGCGAATTTACCGTATTTTATTATACTATTATGCGACTTGAGTTTTCCGGTTCTCCGAAATATGCTAGGGAAAAGGATGCACAAACACTACACAGCACAACAGCACATCCTTCACATCGCTCAGAACACACAAATCAGCAGGTGCAAAACAAAGCCCCTCAGCAGAATAACACCAGACAAAGAGCGCAAAGGGTGAGAGAGTGAGGTGCGCCCATGTCGCCGGGCCTCTCCGCCCTGTCAAGAAAGAGTACAAAACTGATATGTAGAGAGATACACTCCAAACCGGAGAGAAATATACACATCAGAACCACCAACCCAAGAAGAATTGAACATGAACAATTCACAATCTCTCGCCAGCTCTCCAAGTCCAATCAGAATCCACAAAGTAGCAAAGAATCACAACCAAGTAAACTGCCTCGAACAAACATGCAACACCACCAAGCCTCCTTCCTCCTCCATCCTCACAACATCACACGCATCACTGCCAGCCTGTATGGCTATGGCCCCCGTTCAGAATTCCATGCACAGCCTTCTGGGGCCCATCAGCGCCACCTCAGAACCCACTCAGAAGACACAGCCCCAGTCCCAGGATGAAGGAGGGACCTCCAGCTTGAAGAAGAGGTTATGGCAGTGCCTAACCCGAATAGCACAGATATGGTTGTCGCCATCCAGCGGTCAAGCACAGTCTTCACTGCCCTATCCAAACACCCGGACTGGTCGATTAAACCCCAGATGGCACTCCAAAACACAGCAGCAGCTTTCCCAGATAGGTCGCTGCTCCAGCCGCCCGGCAGCATCCACAAGTATCGCCATTGCCAAACAAAGAGAGCTAACCAAAGAGAGTTCACCTGTCAGTCGTGTGTGGGTAACCTGCCGGAGTGGACTCACCTAGGACCTAACATCCCAACAGTCATGGGTCAGTCTGAGGCAGAATTGTGCAGCAGTCGGTGTCGGCCAAAAACGAGTTTATGGTTAGATGTAGTTACCCTTTTTCCCTGTAGTTCAGGGAATTTACGGATAAGTCCCTGTCGGTTCAGGCTCAGATGTAGTTACTAGTTACCAGGTTAAGACCCACAAGGCTGTAAATTCGAAGTATGGAAAACCAGATAGGTCCCTGAGAGTGGAGGCGTGTCAATGATATATGACGGTCCGACATCGGTCCCTAGTATGTCTAACACTTTCCAGGGTGCACAGTATGCGGGTAGCTTCAGGTAAAAACTCTTTAGACTTAACCCAGACCACGTCACCAACAGCAAACTGTGATGGTCTCCGATGCATGCTGGCCTGGTTGTCTGCTACTCTTTTTATATCTTTTGCATACACCAGTGCAAATTCGTGTGATCCAGGTAGCTGTCATTTTATTTGGTCCGGGTTTAGACAGTCTATGGGGGCTATGCGTCTTGTGCGGTCTCCACCCCTTGTGCAGTTCAGAAGGTGTTCTGGCTGTTGATAGATGCACTGAGTTACTTATAGGCACTTGCTACCCTAGGTAGCTTTGTATCGCAATCAATCTCATCTGGTCTGATGTACATGGGGAATGCCTGTTGTAGCAGCCTGACCGCTTGTCTCAGGGTGTCTGCCGGATGACATGGTCAGCTCTGATCCACGTGCCTTCATCAGTTTCCGCCAGGTTTCACAAGTGACCCTGATGTCTCTGTCACTAACTACATTTACCGTTATCCTTACCCAATGAGCAATCAACTTCTCAATGACCAACTCTGTTTTCGCTTCTGCAGGCAAAGGGATGAGCTCAGCATACTCGCTACCAATACTTGGTTGTTTCTCCCTCTGCTCTTCAGCTCTGGTGTCCACGAAGTCCATTATGACTCTCCTAGGGAGTAGTCCGAATAGGCTTGAAGGTGCTTGCGTGATGCTTGAGTGGTGCTTGAGTGGTGCTTGAGCGGTGCTTGAGTGGTGCTCGAGTGGTGCTTGAGTGGTGCTCGAGTGGCGCTCTTGTTTCTTTGACATACTTCACATCCCCCAATGTACCTGATACAGTCAGACTTCGTGCCTGACCACAAGAATGAACATGGCAGATTCGCATAAGGTTTTCTGCCAGCCAAAGGGTCCATTTACATCATGGCATTCTCCTCGAATAGTGCCAAGGATCTGTTCATCGTTCGGGGCATACAGTCTATTCATGCCGCATTGTCAGAAATAGCAATTCGTCAGTTATCCTATACCCTGGAACATCTTCGGGCCTGTTAGCCTATACCCAAGAACATCTTTGGGCCTGTTAGCCTATACCCCGGATCATCTTCGGGCCTGTTCTTCATTTATTCTTCTAATTACTTCACTAGGAGCATCTTGGGGTCTTTCTGGTATGTTTCTCTAGACCTCTGTTGCAGGTCCTCCGAACGTCTAGGGGCTATGTCACTGTGAACCCAGTAGGCCTTTTTGAACAACTCGGGTAGGCCGAGGTAGGTCCAGTAGCTCTCAAAAACACAAAGGTCCAGCGCCTGTGTATAGACAGAAAATTAGGTTGGATTGAGGCCCTGAGGGTAGCTGCAGACTGCAATCACGTTCCTGCCAAAAGGCAGGAAACTTCCAATAGGTCCAGAGCACCACGGGGAGGCCGAGTTACAGTGAAATTCGGCCAAAAGTTAACGCAGCTCGGGTAAGAAAAGAGTGTGTATCATTCAGTGCACGAGGTCAGAGAAGCTCTCTTCGGTTCATTCTACAAGTGGGCACTATGCTGCTCCACCCGGAGGGGGAAGTTGGAGCACTTCGAGGACAAGGTGGACCTGGACGGTGGATGGTGAAGACCTCCATGGCTATGGAGTTGCAGTCGGAAGGAGGTAGAGGTAGACCTAGGCTGTAAAGGTGAGCCAAGCTATGG